TTTTCATCTATTACAGTTGTACTTATATTTGACCATTTGGTGTCATTTAACAAGTCCCTGGGCCTCCATTCAATTTTAAAACAGTTATCTTGTTTTAACATTTTAAATTACAATTATTAATTTTTATTGATCTATCTTCAAATTAACTCACTCTTTTTTGGTCATATATTCATTTAGCTAAGTCCCTCCAGTATTTTTTTATTTCAAAATTGTATTTTTACTTCTCAAATTTTCTTTTTTTATCCTTGCTAAAATTTCCCACTTTTCTGCTAATGTAAATATTCATTGGTTGAAAAATATGTTTTCTTTTAGTTTATTGGGAATCATTATAATTTCTATTTTAAAATAGTTAATATGTTAGTTTCAACATCTGGTTTATTTTGTGGTCATATGGGCTTAATTTTTTCTTTTTTTTTCTTTTTTTGGTCACTTGAGAATATTTTCCAGTAGGCACTATATGTTTTGCTTTACCTGGTCATTTTCTTGCCTGTGCTGGCACTGCACACTCTCTTTCATGCATGGCAGCTCCGGTCTCAGCATGCATCTTTGAGTCTGTTTAAGACTAAAATGGAGAAAAAAGTATCACGTACATAATGCACCCTTATGATTCAGAATTTCCTTCTGTAGACCCAAGTTTCCTTCTGGCACACTTTAATTCTGCTTGAAAATATTTATTTTAATATTTCTTATGATAAATTTCTTATGCCTTAACTAAGTAAATTCTCTCTGCTGTTGTTGGTCTGCTAGAATCTGTTTGCCTTCATTTTTAAGATATTTTTGCTGGGTATACAATTATAGAATAATAGGTTTGTTTGGTTTTAAGTGTCTTTACTTTGAAATGGCATTCACCTGTCCTCTGAATTGACTAATTTTAAGTGAGAAGTCTAAAATTAGTCCCTCTTTTTCACTGTACTTGTGTGTCTTTCTTTTCCTGTTTTTGCTTTCAATTTTTAATTGTGATATGCCTTGCTGTGTTTACCTTACTTGCAGTTACTCTGGTTTATCCTACACAGTTTATTGAGTTTTTGTTGGATATGTGGGTTTGTAGTTTTTACCAAATTTGGAAAATAATTAGCTGTCATAACTTCAAATATTTTTATCCACTTTTTCTTCGAGAACTTATATCTATGTCTTACTTCTTGAATTATCCTACAGGCCACTGATTTGCTGTTCTTATTGTTGTCATTTATTTTCTCTTTGTGATTTAATTCATATTGTGATTTTTTTCTCTGTGTAATTTTCATTTCTACTGTAGTGTCTTAATGGTCACTGATCTTCTCTTCATTAACTAATCAATTAATCTCAGGTATACTATTTTTCCTTTCAGATATATAATTTTCATTTATAGAGTTTATATTTTGTTTCTTGTTATATCTTTAATTTATATTCCAATTACATTAATATATTTCTCTTCATCTTTGAACAATGTCTGATATTTGTAACAGGGGTTTTAAAGTGTTATTAGCTAATTCCATCATCTCTAATATCTGAGTTATGGATCACATTTTCCTGCTCCTTTATATTTCAGTTATTATAATAATTAGATAGCATATATTGTGAGTTTTACTTTGTCAAGTGATGGGTTTTGTCATCTTTTAAAAGATGTGTTAGACTTTGATAAGTTACTAATGACAGATTGCTACGTAAGGGGTCTGCTTTAAAGCACTTGAAGTTGAAGCACTTGAAGATATGGAGTTGTCTTTACTCCAGATATGGGTCAGCCCCACTCCTTGTGTGTGCCTCACCTGTGTTCTCCACCGAAGGCTGAGTGCTCAACAAGGACTCTCGAACTCTTTTTATTTAAATACATTGTGTATGGCAGGAGAGTAAGTCCAATGCCTGTTACTCAGGAATGGCCAGATGCAGAAGGACCAGTGCTCTTTGTTAAAGACAGAAAGCACTTTAAAATTATCATATGATATTTTCATGTGTAAAAGTCATTAATAGTCAAAATACATTTAGACAAATGCAAAATTATAATAAATACAGTACTAAGCACTATAATTTCTCTAATTTTCATAAGCATTAATGTTACTATTAGATAATAACTTCTAAACTCCATTATTACTATAAGAAAAACAGGAAAAAGCTAAATTCAGGTTTAGTTATATGTACTTCTTGATCTTTAAATTTTAAAAATCCTCAAAGTGTTTTTGTTTTTTCTGTTTTTGGCTGAAACACTTTATTAAAGCCTAGCTAAGTCCTATAGTACAACCATTTTTAAACACACTGATAAAAGTATTAAGATATTAAATAGACTTGCAACACTTAAGAACTTTTAAATGACTTGTAACAATTTTGTGATTTTTCTTTTCCTTAATCTTTGATACTACATTGGTCATTCAGTCCAGTGCCTATGATCACCATACAAATTTAGTTTATAATAGCTTAAACACTGATTCAGATCTCAAAATTCATCAGCTTAAAATTTTGACCTTTTCAGTTATTAACCCTATATTTTTGATTCAATTATTTCATCAGCTTACTTTATTATATTAAGACAGGTGGTATTTGTTTACCAACTCCTAGATTTTCCTTCATTCATACATTAAAATGTGTTTAAATCTTATATGGGCAAATGGATACAGAAGATACTCAGAACTTAAATACTTACTGGCAGAACTTAGGTCCTTTAAGACAGCAATTGCGAAGAATTTCATTCTGATTAGCAGCTATGTTTAATAAGAATTACTTTGAGGTTATCCACACATGTATATTCACCGTGTCATATATAAGCCAGCAGGTGGCAAACTTGAGATTCTTTTGTACTATTGCTCTTGTTGAAGATGTATTAAACAGCGATTCAATGGATCTCATAAATAGCTCTTTTGGTGCACCATGGCATAGGAAGAATTAAACCCTCTCTAACTGTAGAGCCACTGGTATTTGGATGGCAATGTACTCATTGTAGTTTTCTCTTGAGTGACTATTTTATTCTATAATTCTTTCTTTAACAAATAGTTTTGGGAGATAGAGGATGCCGGTTTGAACTATTATGTTCCGTGATCTCCCTGATTAAGAATAAATATTAGCTTCTCTTGCATTTACTTTGGGGGAGAGCTTTATATCATTTATAAGGTCATGCAATATATATTTTGTCTCCCAGAACAGGTAATGTAATATGCTTTTGAAAATTTTAACAACACTGACCTTCATGTTTTTGAACACAAAACAGTCATTTCTTCTGTAGGTAATAGTTGTTTTAATTTTATTCCTACAAACATTTATGTTTTAGTGTGACTTACTGGTAGTCATTAACACATTAAGATGAATTTAATTTCTTTCATGTACATTTGATTTTCAAAAGTCTTAGATTTTGTACCAATACTAAAGGATCAATCAAGATTGCTTATATTGAGACATATGATTAGGTCTTGGGGTATTTAAATAAACATAGTTCTATCACATTCAGAGATACAAATCCAGCCATAATACACGACTTACCCATTTTTTTTCCCTGTGTGAAAGTCGTCTATTGTTAACACTACCACTGTGTTCTCCACAAAACTCCTTTCCCTTCCTGTAAGTTACCTTCCTTCCTATATGTCTGCAGTCTATTTTAACAATAGCTACAGCTTGTTATTCTCTTCCTAGGGGAGAATACTTTTTTCATAAAGGGGCAGCAATGACTAAAAACAAACCCAAACTAGGTCCTGAGATGCTTCATGATTCTACATAGAAACTGGATCATTTAGGTGACTTCTACAAGATTTAAATAAAATAAACTATGCTTCATTAAAGCCAAAACTATTTGAAGGATTCTAGCAATTGACTACTTGGTGGATTGAATGTTGAACAAGTAGGAAGTAAATTCACTAATCATTCAAAATAAAAGTTTTCCTTCTCCACATATCATAGTAACTGAAGATTCTTTAAGGCCTAATAACTTATAATTCTTCCTGTCTTGCTTTTTTTACTTCTAAAGGAAGAAGGCTCAAATTTTTTAAAAGTATCTGGTATAAATATATAATAAGGAAAGTAAATTATGGTGTAAAATTGAATTTAACTATGAAACAAGCCCTGAATCAAATTTGAAAAAACTGAAACTGCCACTTAGGCTGTAGATTGTATATCGCTCAGCTTTAGTGTTCTCCTCATTGGGACTTTAAAAAAGAAGCTTCTAAATCAGGAAGGTGCGTGCACAGGCACTGGTTTGCATATACTCAGAGGTCAAGATACCCTGGTCTTGTTCATGTGTCCTAATTCAATCCTCCTGTCTTCCATTTTCCTTCAATCCATGACCAACTAGGGAACCCAGCTTTTGAGAAAGATGATAGGCCAAATAACTTCTCATTCCCCCACTTCCTGAGTCTCCTGGGGGAAATACCTCCTAGTGATTTTTCATGGGGCAAAATCAGAGACCTGCAAACAGGGCCCCCACACAGAGATTTGCAGACACCTATAGGCCTGTACGCATCAGCCTACAAAACACAGATCTCCAAGTCAAGGCTATGTCATAGCCTTGTCAGTGTGCCCTAACGATCCTGACGAGGGCACACTGTCATAAACAATTGTGCATTGTGCCAGATTTGGGTTTTGTGTCCTTTCCAATGTAGTACTTAAATGTGCACATCTCTTGGAATTCCAGTGAGAACACACGGTCCCAGTCCCGTTTGGTCTGGCAACGCATCCCGGAATGTAGAGCAAAGGGACAGCAAGGGCCTGCCGGCCACATCTCCACCTAAGCGTGGCCCCAGCTAATCGCATGTCCCCCTCCACCAAACAAGGAAGGAAACTGGGGAGTGGACAGGCTTTATGAGCAACCTTGAGTCTAGCTCTTCAGAGAGAGGCGTTCCTTGGTGAATTTAGGAGTCTTGCCTTTCTCCATCCCCAGCGCGCTCCCTGCCTTTCTTTGCCCACTACGCCCCCACCCTGTGTACATGCAGGTAAGTTTTACACAGAATGAGTCCCGCGTTGACGTAGGTATCCCTTTCCCTCCCACCCGGATAGAAGCCCAGGAGGGAGAGAGTAAGGGAGATGCGGAGGTGGGGATCGCTTATGTCGCGGAGGTTAGGGTCCCTACGCGAGACCAATTAAGGGCCAGCCAGGAGCATTGGTTCTAGACCCACAAATAGACCAAGCTTTTCCCTCCTCCGTCACCCTCTTAAATCCCGATGAGGTCACTGCGATGAGAGAGAGTCAGATCAAGAGAGAGGGGGGGAGGAAGAGGACGATGAGGGAGAAGAAATCCAGACGGGAAAAGGCCATCAGACAAGGTCGCTTTTTCTGGCGACACAGCAACTGCGAGGCGTGTGGTGCTGAATAGCATCCACCCGCTCAGCCTGGGGACCAAGGGACTCGCAGAAGCACTCTGTGTGGCCACGAAAACAAAGGAGAGGAGACGAGCGGGAGCAGGAGAGGGAGGCGCGGAGCAGTTCGGCTCTGCATCTCCGGGAAGCCAAGCGCATCTCCTTGGCAAGGGAAGGAAGGGGAGCCGGACGGTTGGCAGGAGGAGGAGGGAGCGGGGTTTGCCCCGCGGAGACGCGGGACGCGGCAGAACTCTGGACAGCGCCTCGCGAGCGGGACTCTGAGCCCCAGGCCGGGCCAGCTTCCAGCTGCTCGCTTCTCGGCTCCTCTTCGGAAGCCCTGGGACTCAGTCCCTCTCCGCTCCTGGACTCAGACCCCCGATCCTCCCAAGATCCCTGTCTGGACGTGCCAGGGACTGACTGGAGCGGATCTTTCGCCTCTGGCCGGGTCAGGGAAGAGGGTCTCCGGCTCTGGAAATCCAGTCCTTGCGGATAATGCTTCACTGGTGAAGAAAGAAAAGTTTTGGGGTCTGGTAGGGGGAGGAAGGGGTAAGGAAGATAGTGGAAGAAAGAAGGTGGAAGGTTGGTTTCCCACTCTGACCTGGAAGGAATGATGACCGAGGAAGAATGTGCACCAGCGGCCAGATTATTGGGAGCCTCTTGGTGCTCTCCGTGCTGGAGATAGGGCTGGGGGTGTCCAGCGTGGCCGTGGGGGCGGTCAGCTTCAGCCTGGCCCTCCGACAGCACAAGCCGCAGCTCGGAGACTCGTCCCCGGTATGGAGCGGGGTGTGTGTACGTTGAGCCATTTCACTCTCTTTACCTCTTTAAGGTGATGGGCAGTGTGCGTGCGTTAGTCACCCCTCCCCGGGGAGGAAAAGCATAAACCTCCTCTGGCTTGTGTGTAGGTTCGCGTTGGCAGGGCATGCCTCTTGATGTTGTCCTTTTATTTAGCACTCTAATTGTTCTCTTTCCTTTTTAATAACTTGGCTTAAGACCAAATTAAATGCCTTTGTTGAAAGTTGGGGAGGGGTCAGTTTTCACCAGCTGCATCTGCAAAAGACTGCCCAGGGGTGCTGACAGCGTGGGGCGGGGGTGGGGGGGGGGTGGTCACACCTGTCAAGGGCAGACTCAGCGTCCCGTTTCTTTGACAAGGGAAATCAAAAGGAGAGAGTTGTTACATCATTTTCTTGTACCCGGAACAAGCAAGGACGGAGTTATACATTTATTTTCGCGTACACTAAAGGAAACACCAGAATGACAAAAAGAGAACTGTGGTGTGGGTGTGAAAGGAGCATTTTATCCCAGATAACACCGCTCTTAACTTCCCTTGCTAGCTTTCTGTACTTTGCATCTAAAAACTCTTTTGTAAGTTCTAGGCAGTAAGTTGGACAGTAAATGGTATGGTATTTAACAACATTCTAATTGGAGAATAACTCAGCTCAAAGAGTGCCTAATGCTTGGAGAAAATGGCATACTTTTCTCTGGGTCAGATGGCTGACCCAAAGAGCTTCTGCTTTATTTACTTTAGGTGAATCTCCAAGAAAGCCTTACAGATCCATTCCTTCCCCCAAGAGCCAGCAAAATAACTCAGCACTATTTCCAGTAGGGATCCAATGGTGAAAATCAACTTTTCTTCTCCTTTAAGTTACATAGCTGTCAGGTCCTTCTGGGTCTCTAGCTCGATCTTACTTTAGGTAATCGAATAGGATGTTATTCTATCCCTGATAATTGGTGGCTGTAATTAACAATCATGACTTAGTTACTTAAGTTACTGAGGGAAAAATTACCATTTTTCAAGAAAAAAAAATTATTCCAAAGTAATTTATTTTTGAGGGAAATTCTAGCATTATTAAACCCAGTATAATTCTGTTTTAGAAAACTCGTTTTAATATTTTAATTTTTCAAAGTGAAATAAATGTTTTTAAATTGCAGAAGTTAAAAAGAAAAAGAAAAATGGTGTTCAAGCTTAACATTGAATTCTTCCAAGCATCCTTGTTCTAGATTTAATAAGTTACTACCGACCTCTGAATCATTTACCTTTTTCTTTATCATGTAATTTTAATGAATATTTTTAATTTATATGTGGCAAGCTAAAAGGCAAAGCTTAAATCTGATTTTACATCCTCTACATAGTAGCGATTATTCTGAGAGTTGAAGTTGTTATTATTGAACAGAAATGGTCTGACTCTAAAAATTCTAACAGATGATTGTCAAAATGAAATGTAATGTCAACATTTAAAGCAAGGGGAGGTAAATGTGATCTTTTGATGGCTTATGGGGAGAAGCTTCAAACACTTCAACCACTTTCCCTCCGATATTTAAGAGGCTGAGTGAGTGAACTTAGGTTGTCCCTAAATAGTATCAAAGTATCCCATTTATATTCAAGAATAAAAAATAGCTACACTTGCTTAACATCATGTAAGAAAAATAATTAAATGATTTTATCTCTCTTTCCAGACTATCTAAATGAGTTGATATATGTGTACATAAAGAAAATGAAAATTTTATATCTCAGTGAAAAGCAAATAAGAGTAATGTATAGTCATTATCATAAATACTTATTTCCATTTTTAACTGATTCTTTAGAGTAACTAGAATTCACTTATGACCCAAGAACAATAGTTTTGAATTCTACTGTCTGATTCAGTAAAAAAAAAAAAATTAAAAACTGCATGTGATTTAATGAATGGATTTGAAACTAGAATGCCCAAACAGCTGGTCCCTTTTATAAACTCAAGTTAAAAAAGCAACTTTGTGAAGAAATCAATATCAAGTTGTGATCATTATTTATCAAAATATAGGCTTGCTAAGTTGATTTTTTAAATTATTTGTTCAGAGGTCATTTGTGATACAGTTTGAGTTCTCTCAATTCTGTCAATGATGAATTCATACAGCCAACATTTACAGAGGAATTACCATGTGTAAGGCATTTTACTGTCTTTCACAAAGGCTATCAAAATGAATCAGAATGCCTAGTGGAGGAAACATGAAGGGTACATCACTGACTTTATCAGTGACAAATTAGAATCTGGACTCAGAGAAACAGAGGGACAGATAAAGGGAAGAGATATTGGGGTGGCCAATGAAACATCGACATGAGAACTATTATTTTCTCTTGATCTTGCAAGTTTAAGGGGACTTGGGATTAGTGTATCGCAGTGTTAAGTAATACAGCACAGTGCGAAAAACCTGGAGCCTGTCTGGGTACACATCCAAGATCTGCCACTTGCTGTCTGCACGAATAACCAAAGTTTCCTCCTATGTTGTAAAACAGTGTTATTAGAAGGCACAAAGGCACAAATAAGGCTCTTAGTTAAAAGCACAGCATGTAGTAAGCACTGAATAAATGTAAGCAGCTAACACTGGGTGCACAGACTGGCAGAGAAGGGCATGAGGAAGGAAAATGTTTCGGGCAGTATGGATGAAGGAAGAACCGGGGGCAGGGTGGGTTACCTTCCAGGACGAATAGGCTCCTCTGGGGCTTTGCTGTGTGAGGGCGAGACCAGGTTGGGAAGGATGGTTGGGGCCAGGACAGGAGAGGCTGTGTGTTAGTCCAGGGTAATGGATTTATTTCCTCACATTTGCATGTTATTATTAATAACAACAACAACAATAATAATTTTTACTTTCTGAAAAGACTCCAAGAACATGCAGAGGAAAACTAGACAGAAGATTACAAATCTCTCTGGTATTTTATGAATTAAAAATCAGTATTATTTTTAAATACAAAGTAGTGTTTTATAATAACTTGTCAGGATTACCATTGTCTACAACCAGAGTGAGTTTTGATTGGTGCCATGACGTGTTTTCAACACATTACTATCATTATTACAAATTTCTGAGCTAAATTTTAGAAGTCAACTGAAATAAAAGCTATACTATGAAAGGATTATTTCTTATATTTGGAACCCAATGTCAAAAGGTCTTTTATCTAGGCCAAATGCAGTAAGAATTCAGATAAGTATTTTGATTACATGGATCCAAAATATTTTTAAAAATTTAAAAGATAGCTTAAAAATAAAATAGTATCAAGATAAAGGGCTTAAAATCCATGAGATGGATGCTTATACAGATTACTTCCAGTCACTATTTCATAACCCTGCAAAAGGTGTTTCTGCAATCAGTTTAAAAGATGTGGGCATTTAGAAGGAAAAAAATCATTTAACTATAATTTTATAGCAACAGAAAACTATACATGCCTTTGCAGTAGTTTGCTTCTTCTTGATTCTTTGTTATTGCTGATATAGTCACCTCATTAAAAGCATAAAAGAAGATGTAACTGTTAGATAACAATGAATGAACCATTGAGTAAACTGCCTTGGAAAGATATAGTTACGTGGAATATAATTAACATGTAACATTAACAGCGAGTTAAGCAGACAAGGCTATATTTACAAGTTGCTGTGTGATACTCACTTTTCTCAGTCTCCAGTGCTACCTGTTGTGTGGACTTATGATTCACCATGGCAACAACTCAGCCAATTTTAAGATTGTGATGAAATTCGCCTGCTATACATTCTGATCCATACTATATCGATACAAATGATGTGCTGGATGTAAATGATAGCTGCTCCAGAGTATTATTTTAATATTTAAATCTGTCCAATTCATTTAAGAAAGAAAAATGAAAGAAATCCCTCAAACAGTTACTTCAAGTGTACAAAATTTGGAGCTAGTGTGTCTCTTACCATATAATATATCATTATTCACCAAGCTCAAAATAGAAAACATAAGGTATTTATATCTTTTAGCATGAATTAAAACACTGACCTATCCTAAGAAAATAAAACCACAAACGTATATTTATGTATCATTTTAAAACTAATTTTAATTATGCAATTAGTTCATAAATAAAATCTCTTTTCTAAGGGTTAAAAAAGATTAAAACTGAAGTTCTTTTCCCTACCATGTCATCTAAATTAGCCATGCTTATAACTTTAGTGTGTAATCTCACAGATATTTCTCCATGCATAAATAGTATTGTTTGAACATATAAAGTAATTTTGATCAAGTCTCTGGATATAGTGAAGTCTATGTATGAACTCTGTAAAGCCTGGGTAAAGAATCTCTTCCTTATATGAAACACACTCTTATTCTCAAGTGCTACTTGTTACCCACTGGGGTTAGGTCGCAGGGGTGTCCAACCCGTGGCCCGAGGGCCGCATGCATCCCAGGATGGCTATGAATGCAGCCCAGCACAAAATCGTAAATTTAGTTAAAACCTTTTTTTGGTCATCAGTTTTCATTAGTGTTTGTGTATTTAATGTGTGGCCCAAGACAACTCTTCCTCTAGTGTGGCCCAGAGATGCCAAAAGTTTGGACACCCCTGGTAGGGCAATTAGATAATTGGCAATTAGATAAGTTAGCCGAGCTAAACTACTGGTAAATGTAGTTATTATTCAAGAAAAGTTTGGTCCCCTTCAGCCATCTATTTGTTGACAGTTTGCTTGATACAAACAATCTGAATAAAGTCAGTCTTTCATTTGGATGTTTTTGCTTAAAATGTTCAAGATGGCTCTGGGCATTAGTTTAATTATTAGTCAGATCATCCAGTATGTGCTTTGAATACAGCTAAGCAATTTAACTTTTTTGTATATTTACTTCGCCCTCAGATAATGGTAAATAGGGGCAAAGACCAGCCATCCTAACTGAAATTCTTGTTTTTAAAATCAATAAAAACTAAAACAGATTTGATGGGTATGCACATACCCACCAAAAGAGGGAAACACCCAACAATTTTCCGTTCAAATGATTTTGAATCATTAACTTTTGAAGCAAAGAAATTTTCATTT